AGTCTGAACACGTGATATGCATGCGTGTGACGTCACCGTTTTCACAAATTTGCATCTTTGTAGTTTACATGGAGACGATAACGGCATGATTTTCAAAACCCATTTTCAGGCCCCTAAAACAGTATTGTCAAGTAACTGCTAAAATGCCCTACGATTAAAGGTGCTTTCACACTAGCGCTTTCAGTGCGCACCCGGGTTCATTTAACATCAGAGAACGCAGTCGTAATAAACTGCAGTGAACTGCTATCGATGACGACTGTGTTCGTATGTGCATCAGGCGTGGGTTTAATGTGCAGTTTTTGAAGATTTTTGAAGCAGTTTTTAACATAAAATCTGAAGTAAAAATTTAAATATAAAGAAGAGGTGTTTGGGAGCCACTGCCTCAGAAAATATGCAGCACATTAAAAGCAAATAGATGCAAGCGCTGTTATTTGTTAATGCTTCGGAAGCAAAAACATAGACGCAGTGCTGTGCATTTTACCGCCTTCTCCTGCATCACTGTTCCCGAGCAACAAGGGGTAAGCAGCTGCCGCTTTGATGCAAACACACCATGGTTTGGAATAAAAATGTAAAAAAACAAAAAACAAAGCAGGCACCAGGAGTGGGAGCAATCGAACCTAAGCTCAGACCATGCAATTAAACCAAGTATGAAACATCTGAAATGATCAGGATGTTGTGAGAAATTAATTGTAGGTATCATTTTAGAGTATTGCTGTAGAGGGCTCGGGTTGATACCATCCACGCTGCTAAAAAGAGACTGTTCACTAAGGGACACCTTTAGCATCTGTAGAGCGATGTGCAAAACTCAAGCGGCAGCATTTGATGCCTTGGGAGTGAGAATGAGCTGTGTGTGAGGTGAAGAGTAGTGTTATTTTACAGAATGAGCATGCAGATTGAGCTCCTGTCTCAGGGGTGACAACAGAAGGAGTGTGTGTGTGTGTGTGTGTGAGTGTGTGAGAGTGTGTGTGTGTGTGTGAGAGAGAGAGAGAGAGAGAGAGAGAGAGAGAGAGAGAGAGAGAGAGAGAGAGAGAGAGAGAGAGAGAGAGAGAGAGAGAGAGAGAGAGAGAGAGAGAGAGAGAGAGAGAGAGAGAGAGAGAGAGAGAGAGAGAGAGAGAGAGAGAGAGAGAGAGAGAGAGAGAGAGAGAGAGAGAGAGAGAGAGAGAGAGAGAGAGAGAGAGAGAGAGAGAGAGAGAGAGAGAGAGAGAGAGAGAGAGAGAGAGAGAGAGAGAGAGAGAGAGAGAGAGAGAGAGAGAGAGAGAGAGAGAGAGAGAGAGAGAGAGAGAGAGAGAGAGAGAGAGAGAGAGAGAGAGAGAGAGAGAGAGAGAGAGAGAGAGAGAGAGAGAGAGAGAGAGAGAGAGAGAGAGAGAGAGAGAGAGAGAGAGAGAGAGAGAGAGAGAGAGAGAGAGAGAGAGAGAGAGAGAGAGAGAGAGAGAGAGAGAGAGAGAGAGAGAGAGAGAGAGAGAGAGAGAGAGAGAGAGAGAGAGAGAGAGAGAGAGAGAGAGAGAGAGAGAGAGAGAGAGAGAGAGAGAGAGAGAGAGAGAGAGAGAGAGAGAGAGAGAGAGAGAGAGAGAGAGAGAGAGAGAGAGAGAGAGAGAGAGAGAGAGAGAGAGAGAGAGAGAGAGAGAGAGAGAGAGAGAGAGAGAGAGAGAGAGAGAGAGAGAGAGAGAGAGAGAGAGAGAGAGAGAGAGAGAGAGAGAGAGAGAGAGAGAGAGAGAGAGAGAGAGAGAGAGAGAGAGAGAGAGAGAGAGAGAGAGAGAGAGAGAGAGAGAGAGAGAGAGAGAGAGAGAGAGAGAGAGAGAGAGAGAGAGAGAGAGAGAGAGAGAGAGAGAGAGAGAGAGAGAGAGAGAGAGAGAGAGAGAGAGAGAGAGAGAGAGAGAGTGTGTGTGTGTGTGTGTGTGTGAGAGTGTGTGTGTGAGTGAGTGAGTATGAGTGTGTGAGTGAGTGTGTGAGTGAGTGAGTATGAGTGTGTGTGTGAGTGAGTGAGTGTGATAGTGAGTGTGTGTGTGTGAGAGTGTGTGTGTGTGTGTGTGTGTGCGTGTGTGTGTGGTTTATGAGGACACAAATTTGTATAATAACATGGGTATGACAGGTATTACAACGAGAAGGTGATTTATGAGGACATTTTCAGTGTCCCCGTAATTCAAAAGGCTTATAAATAATTCAGAATGAGTTTTTTTGAAAATCTGAAATAGCAGAAAGTCTCCTGTGAGGGGTAGGTTTAGGGGTAGGGTTGGTGTAGGGCAATAGAATATACGGTCTGTACAGTAGAAAAACTATTACGCCTATGGAGAGTCCTCATAAACCATAAAAACAAACCTGTGTGTGTGTCTGTGTGTGTGTCCTGTGTGTGTGTGTGTGCGTGCGTGCGTGTGATTGTGAGTGTGTGTGTGTGTGTTTGTGTGCATGCGTGTGTGTGTGTGTGTGTGAGTGTGAGTGTGTGTGTTAATGGGGTGCAGGTGGAACGACTGCTGGTCAGAGGCGGCAGGAGATACCGAATTTGCAGATGGTTTCAATAAAACAGACAGGAAAAATTGCAACAGAAAATGCTTTTAATGTATGCCTCTGTATTTTTGAAGCCCTAAAGAACATCACACACACACACACACACACACACGCACACACACACAGACTCTGTAATCCCTCTTTGCACATGCTGCAAATTCAAATGAAAACAATGGCGACAGATCAAAGAGGTTTCTCAGGATGGGAGGGGAAAGTGAAGAGAGGAAATGAAGCTGTAGGTAGCTATAGGTGGAACTTCAATGCAAGGCCGCATTTACAGCTGCAGAGTTATAAAACCTTCCAACCGCACTGACAGCCCCTGGTGTCTGTATGTTTTCATTTGACCAACACTCTGCAGTAACATTCAGCTGAACTATTTCGTTAAAGTTTTGTGTTCCAATGAAAAAATTAAGTTCATTTCTTGTCAATTTCATGTTGGATTTAGAATGACAGGAGAGTGAGAAAACGATTGCTCAACTTTCCTATTTGAGTGAACTGTTACAAAAATAATGAGGCTATGTTATTAAAGCAGTGGTGCATTGGGTTGTTAGTAGAGTCCGGCTTGCTTCAAATCCTGTGCACCCTTCATTCTTTCCTCAGAAATTTCTAGTTTCTCTACTGGCCTAAAAAATAAAAGGCTGAAACCCCAACAGATCAATTTAAAGGGATAGTTCACCCCAAAATGAATTCTGTCATCATTTACTCACTCTCAAGATGTTCCACGCCTGTGTGAGATTCTTTCTTCTGCTGAACACAAAAGAAGAGATTTTAAAGAATGTAACCAAACAGTTTCTGGTCAGCAGTGACACAGTATTTCTTCATACTATGGAAGTCAATGGAGACCAACAACTGTTTGGTTCCTCATATCCTTCAAAATATCTTCTTTTGTGTTCAGCAGAAGAAAACTTGAGAGTAAGTAAATGACAGAATTTCCATTTTCGGTGGACCATCCCTTTAAAAAGGCTCATTAACAGCAAAACTGTTTTTTTTGGTTTACAAAAAAACAAAACCCCCGACATACTGTGAGACTGAACTGCTGTAAAACCAGTGCATACGGAAACGCCATGAAGTCTTGATTAATTTCCATCTCTGAAACAGAAGTTAGGAGTAGTCCTTTGTGTAGAGGGAAAGGCCGTGTGCCAACACAACAGCAGACGGCAAGAAGATGACAAAACATTTCATGCACGGTTCAACACCACAGGCTTCATTTCTGTTAGGCCTCTGCTTCAATATATAAAGCAATAAGCTCCGAGAAGCCGTGGTTTACAGTGAATTATAACAGCTACGGGGCGTTGTTAGGCACGAGCTGTTATTAATTCACTGTAAACCACGGCTTCACGGGGCTTATAGCTTTTATAAAACGGTTATTCCATATACGTAGTAAGGTTTCACAGAATAAAACAGAGCAAATAAAGTGTAATGATATTAATAAACAGTATTCTTCCACCAAACAATGTAGCTCCTCAGAAACAGTTGTGGTTGCTACAAAGTGGTTGCCGAGCAACACACAAACGTAAACAAAGGTGTGTGTTACTTTGTAGCGTCATTTACAACAGCTTCGAACCCGGCTCAGCCAATCAGAATCAAGCACCGGAACTATCCGCTTTATAATCCATGTTTTATGTATATAATCTCTTGCTCTTTCTCAGTTTAGAACATTCTATCTCTCTCTCTCTCTTTCTCTATCTACCTGTCTTTCCTTGCCTGTTTTTAAATTCTCCTCAAGTCCTCAGCTACATGAATACAGCAGAGCAGAACAGAAAGGTCATGGAGGCTCTTTCGTAAAAAACCCCACACATAACTTTTCTCTCCGTCTACCTTAGAACCACTGCATAACTGGTCTGATAAGTTTTCCTTAATTAGTGTTCTGTTCTGCTGTTGGCTTAAATGAACGGTTTGAAGACACTGACAAAATGCTTAATTTCTACACAAGGAAAAAAAGTGAATTTTTGTAATTAATCAAAAATGCCTCCGCCTTACAAAATTATACAACATACTGATGCACTCTCTATCTCCCACAGTGATGGTCCACAGTGTTATGGTTCAAATTCCTGGTTTCCCTCGAATAACCTCCATCTTCTCCCTAAGAATCGTAGCAGAACAACCGCTGTGGTTAGCAGCGAGGCCATATCTTTATCTACAGTGACATTTGGAGATGTACGTCAGTGATTTATAGAATTTAATTTTGTGATAAGTGTGTGGCTAAGTAACCTACAAAGAATGAGCCACCTTAACAGAACACTGGTTTAGTCTATGTGCATTATAGGGGACAATCTATTGAAAACAAGCAAGTTTTGTGTTTTTGTAGGAAAACATTTTACATTAGTGATACCCTTGTTTGAAAATTATAATATAACTATCAGCAGGGCTATATGACTTCAAAATTAAAGTGAAACAAGTTTAAAAAGAGCAAACAAACACAAAAAATAATAATTTGCATTGTTTGTATCTATCAACACACCAGGGTTCAGTTGCAATTTTTAAAAATCGAAAGTTCCTCAAGACACAAAAACACGTTTCATTCGTCCTCTCAACTTTACACCAGTCTGAAACTAGAGCAGTCATCATAACGCTTGTTGGACGTTATCATAGTAGCATCAGGCAGTTTTCAAGTGTAGAAGAATTCAAATGAATTCAGTTTTTGAGGCATTTCAAACCTTGCTGTAGTTTTTGAGGGCCATGTCTCTGCTTGGTCCAGACACTCCAACTTTATCAGGAATAGTAGTCGTGTTCTGCAGCTCATATCTCCAAAAAATAAACTGTGCATGTGAACCTGTGCATTTCCCAGAAGGATCACTTGCAACAACACATTTCCAGTTTCCTCTGAGCAAAGAGGGTTTCTTGCTTGATGTAGGATTCATGTCAATCCTGGTTCAAACCCTTGACTCAGGAGCTTCATCTCATAGGAGACAAAGACTAAAATGTACAGCGGGTTGGTTATTTTCTGTGAGAAGACTGCCTCTCTCCCATATATGCACTGAGCTTTATGAACAATCTGTGAGCTGAATGCGGTGTGGGCTGCCCTTGAATCCACCTCAGTGCACCAGCCAGAGATAAAAGAGCAATGTCAGGGAGTCTGATCATTACACCGCGAGGTGAAAATAGCATTTGGTATCACCCCCTGAAATGGCATCACCGCCTCCTGGCACCACATTTATAATGCTTCCTATAAGCATCTGGGCCAATTAAAAGCTTTATAGTGTCACGAACAGCAGGCTACATTGTAATGGAGACCAGAAGGCACAAAGGGGATTCTGCAGAGCCCATGTTGATTAAAAACTGTGTATCTATGCGGTACATGACTCCTAATTATGGTTTCTAAATCAAAGCTATCATGTGTAAGAGTAATCTATATCTGGAATGCCTCCTTCTCTATAGCCACGGTTGGTACTGTAGCCAGAGTTGGTCATGTTTTGGGATGGCGTGTATAGAGCCGTGCCATTCGAGGGGAAGATGGTGTGTATAATGTAATCCTCTCTCACTGCTTTCGGTTGAAGGGGCTGTCTTGTTGCAATTGGTGTCATCTGCAATCCTGGACCTCTGATCTCTAAGATAGTATTGTCTTTCTTTGTGCCTGACTCAATGTAGTCATCACAGTGTTTGCTCTTGCGAGAGCTACCGTGGCTGTAATGGTCTCGTGATGTGAAATGTCCTGCACGGTGCCCATACCAGCAGAAAATAGCAATGATTAGAGCAAGGGAAACGATTGCCGTAGCACCTCCAATAATTCCTGCAAGTGGAAGCGAAGTCATTTGATCAGAGCTGTCGTCTTCACCTTCATCATCAGGGTGGCCAGGATCAGACGTTTCTGTTCTGGCACAAACTGGAACCTCATTTGGTTCTGTGTCACCCCCAGGCATACTACTCCTGCTTCCACTGTTAGACATTAGAGGCACCATGCAGATGATGTAGCTGGAAGCAGGCTGCAGGGAAGTGAGAAGATACTCCCGCCGGTCACCCCTAACCAAGGTTTCTGTGATGGACCCCATGGCAGAGCTGGTTCCTAGGCGAAGCCAGCTTAATCGAAAGGAAGAAGATGTTTGTGCTATGCTCCAGGTAACACGGATACTGTTGTGGGAAAGGGGTTTCACATTCAGGGCCAGGTTCTTGCCCACACCGCTGCTGCTTAATGTGTAGTCCAGCCCTGTTTCTGGGAGACTGAGGCCTGGTCGCTTGGACCTGAGAGTAAACAGGGACCCTTGAGGGGGCGAAAGAGTGGTAGAAATGGCTCCTGCCGCTCCTCCACTCACCCTGTTACCACCAACGCCGACTCCTGTACCTACTCCTCCACCACCAGCAGCAGCCAACTCACATTCATCCATCTGATTCATGAGGTCTCTAAGCGCCATGTCTCGGACTCGCTCTGGTGTCTGGCAGATAAAGCCTCTCACTGTAATTGTATTCCCCTTTGCTTCCAGCCAGTCGTGCAGCCAGCGCAAGTTGCACCCACAATGCCATGGGTTTCCTTTCACAAGCAGCTGCCCCAGGCTCTCCAAGTCCCTGAACAATCCTCTGGGAAGGGTGGTCAGATTGTTTCCAGAAAGATCTAGGCGCTGTAGTCTGCGCATTCCATCGAGTGATCCCCGAGGCATGTGTATGAGGTTATTGTCCTGAAGGGAGAGTCTCTGCAGGTGGGCACTGGGCAAGTTAAGTGGGGGTGTTTGAAGTGAATTACGGACCAGGGAGAGTTCTGTTAAGTTCGACAAGCGTGAGAAGGTATCATCAGCAATGCGTTGATTAGCTAAAAGATTACCATCCAAGACCAGGCGACGTAAAGAGGACAAACCCCGGAAGGCATGCGTAGGAATAGTAGAGATTCGGTTGTCGTCTAAACGGAGTTCTTCAAGTGAGGCAGGAAGACCAGATGGGATGCTGGAAAGGTGGTTTCTGGAGAGGAAGAGGAGACGTAACCGAGGGTTGTCCGCAAAGGCCTGGTCCTCAATACTCACTGTAGAAACAGAGTTGTCGTCCAGATGCAACTTTTCAAGGAGTGGAAATCTAGCAAGTGCAGCCCTTTGCAACACTCGAATGTTGTTGTCCTGGAGGTGAAGCTCTCTTAATGAAGGTGGCAAATGCATGGGAAAGTCATCAAGCTCGTTATCATAGAGATATATAACACACACGGTGGTGTGATGCTCCAAGGACCTAGGAAGCCCTGCATTGTCAATGTGATTGTTCTGGAGATAAAGGACAGTTGCAGATGGTGGCAGAGGTGGGATTGCGCTCAATCCACGGTCGTTGCAGTAAATAAAGTCCTCATCACAGCGACACACAGATGGGCACACTATGTCACCTTCGCCATCCAGTCCCTGCGAAGACGCTGCAGTCATCTCCAGCAGCTCAGCCAATAATGTGAGGCACAGGAGCAGGAAGAAGAGCAAGTCTCGAAGCTCTCCTATACCTTCAGGAGCCATCATGCAACCAGCAAGCTCTCCTAGCCTCCACTTGCCTTTTATAGCACAATTCAAACAATATAATGATTCTTTACACAAGATGATTCAGAAGTCAGTTTGGTCTTGTGGCATGTTTTCTTTTACCCTGGAAAGAGAGAAGAGTGAGAGAAACACATGTTAGTTAGCAAGTTAATGCCCTGGACAGATTTTTATTTTCCAGTAAGTCAATGAAAGGCCATCATCATATGCATGGCAATACATGTTAATTAACTCATGACCAATTGCTTACTAACTATCTAAACCATTTTGCATAGTTGCAGTTCAATAGAAGTTTGAACCGATGGCCTCAATTACTGATGCACTTATCATCAAGTATTAGAACACTTAATTGAAAAGACTGACAAACAATTGCGTTTTGATTATCCTATCAGTATCTTTTTAAATACATAATCTTATAAAATTCAGCCATTTACTCTGATACCAAAATATAAGACCTAAAAGGATTTCTTACTCTGTGGCTTCCTTTTGTATTACAGTCTTAATTTTTATTCTAGCCATCACTAGAATTATTAACAAAAGTGGTAATTAGCTTACTATAGCTCCAGCTTATGGCTGATTCTTACCAAATATTGTGCACAGCCTTGTTACCTTGTATTTATGTACTAAATGTCATAACGTTCAATCATTACCAATGCAACAACTGCTGGTGGCCATTTTTTTTGGTTTGCACGATTAATTTTTCATGGCTAGGTTAGCACTTGGTATAAAGAAGATACACATCAAATTTTATTTTCCTTTCTGGACAAACTGTTGCGGAGTTATGTCAGGTTTTTAGTTGTAGCGCCCCCCATGGGCAGATTTTGACACAAACCTTATCGTGCATATTCAGAATGTCTTGTTGTCTAGGTTTGGACATTGTATTGAGATAGGTCAATTAGTCAAAATGGGCAACACCAGAGCATTTAATTGGTGTAACTCTTTATAATGTTTTGATTAATCAAAACATTTTGGATAGCTTTTTATCATGAGGGTCTTAAAGGGGGCAGATGAGGGTCTTGATGAGGATTCATGTGAATCAATTTAACGACTTGAGACATTTTTGGAGACTCGGTTTTAGGGTAGAAAAAAATAATTAGCAAAACAGTACAAATATAATAGGGAGAATGTGGAATGCAGTGCATGTCTGTTTGCACGCTATTATGTTGTTTTAAATGAAACATCTGTTCAAATGAGACTGCCAGCCAATATTGGGTATTTGGGTCACTTCATACAGTGCATAGATGAAGGATCAAGAGAGAGGGGGAGAGAGATTTGCAGAGAGAGTGGAGGGATTAGTAAACATGTATGTGTTTGTGACTATCTGGATTAGGCAGGTGTTTTTGCTTGCAAAGTTCACACTCTTTTACATTCAGCCTCACCTGGCAGCAGAGACATAACATTAACGTGTATTTCTAGAGCAGGGTTTCCAACCTGAGGGCTTTAGTTAGGGAATGTTATTTTTAAACATTACTGCTATGTTATTAAATGTTATAAAGAATACCTTAACAACTGAAAAGCATGTTCAAGAACGACTCACAGTTTATGGAGTAGAGCCCGCGTTGAGGTGCACTACGACCATTTTTGCATTCTTACATTGGGGTAAATTTTGTGCAACCCCAGCTCTTTTGAAAAATATGCGTGTGGTGACATTTCTGCAAAGGTGAAATGTCCAGTGAGTGGCTATAAAAGTTTTCTCAGAAACAGGTGGACGTAAATCTGGTGACGTGTTATTACGTTGGTTGTTGCACTTATCACAGCAGTTCGGAAACTAAATGTCCACTGAGTGCTTTATCTCACTTGTGTTAACAAATGCAAATGGGTCTCATACCCGAGTGTACCAGGTGAGCTACTGAGCAGGTTTACTATGTCAAAAAAGCCATATGGAGCTGGTTGTTCGAGGTGTTTCGAAATTGTGCAAGGAACCATGTGAAAATAAGTCTTCATGAATCTATAATCTGCCCCTGTAATCGTAATTTGTGTGAAAAGGTGAAATATAAGTTCGTGTTAGTGTTTCAGTGTTTCAGCCGGAAAGTGAGTTGAGTTCTATGTCTAGGTTATAGGGCAGTTGTGGCCTAATGGTTAGAGAGTCGGACTCGTAACCCAAAGATTGTGGGTTCAAGTCTCAGTACTGGCAGGGAGGAACCCATGGCTACACATCGCCTCACTTTTGTTTTTAGAGTTTTGCAAAAATGTAGGTAGAGGAATGTTTTTCCAATAAGCCTATGTGTGTTTGTCAGACATCACTATACCCACCAGAGCAAGAGACCAGGAGATTGAGTGTAATTGGACCATCCATCCAGCTGGTGTCATGGTGTGTATGTGTGCACATACAGTACATCTGTTCATGGCATGTGTAGTGTCTATGCATGCCGTCCTCTGTGTGTATATGAGATGTTTGGGGGCATGTGTGTGGAGGCGAGTGAGGAGAGTGGCGTAGTCACAAGGATAGTCTGTCCAGACAGGCTGTCGCCTTGGGGTGTCTTGCTCTGTCTCCTTTCCAATATTCCTGCCAGTGGAAGGGCAGGACAAGACTATATCAATTTACATCCAGGGACTCTGGGACAGACCACAGAAACAAGTGAGTGATTGCATATGCGTCGCTTCAGTGTCTACCACTACAACTCCCAGTGAAATAAAATTATCTCTGCTCATCCCTGCTTCCACTTGGTAGCATGTAATGCCGTATTTAATTTGAAAACAAAAAGAAAAAAACATTAGACTAGACTGGCCATTTACTTGGGGCTAGTTGTCACAAGAGCCATACTATAAGGTCTAAGTTCAATTGTAAGATTTTTTTTTTTTCAAAATGATGGCTCAAAATGTTCTAAACTTTAAAGAAAAATTGTAAATGTCACAACTTTGTATGCAAATATTGAACACTCATTAACTACAGTGCATTCGATCAGAAAGCATTCAGGCCCTTTTTCACATGTTGTCATTATGTTGCCCACTTTTGGCCAAAACAATGGTATGATGTTTTTTTTTTGCTGTTTCATAAAGTGATTTGTATCTTAATTTTTAGCCTACTATTTAAATTTTGCTACAAAGATATTAAATAGCGTATAGATTTTAAATACAGATGTTTTTAAAGATATATATTATTACATTAGATAGTATTTCATATTTAAGCAAAGACATCCTTCTCAAATTATTGTCAATAAACAGCAGGTTCCTGTTGTAACAGTTTCCCCGTATAGTATGTCAACATACCCGGTATAGATCCACATGTGTTCAATGCAATGTTTTCCTAGGCAATAATAGTGGAAATATTCAATTGCATTTTTATAGTCAAGACTTCAAAGTATTTGTCGATACAGAAACTGACTTTAAAAACCTCGCTCTGAGAAATATTTACTGCAGTCAAATTTGTGACAGCTAGCCACACATGCCCCAATAATTTGATCAAATTAATTTCAAAATATTTAATTTTATGCAAAATTGTTTTGACTAATTTACTACTTTAGAATGTTTATTTTCCCTTCTGTTTGCTTTATATTATAGCATACTACAGAACCCACATGGCCATTCAAACTGTGTGGACGTGTGATTAAGATTGTATGTTTATTGAAGGTAAGAAAGAAGGCAAGACACAATAAGGTAAATAGAGTAAATGAATACGCTGTTATCTAATTAAATATGCACTGTTTTGCATAAATTCCCAGAACAGAAATCTGAACATTGGATAAAGCCAGGTTCAAAATCCGTGTTTTATTTTGTTGACATATTAGAGATTTTACAGATGGGATTTTGGATAAATAATATAATCATAAATAATAAAATCCTGGATTTCTGGCTCAGTACTTCAGAAAAAAACTCATTTTGAGAAAACAGCTTTTAAAGATATGCATTGTAAGTGAAATCTACGGATACAAATAGATAAAGTGCAATAAAATAAAAACTTAAATGTGTATTTTTTTACACTAGTCTAAAAGAAGAGGATATGTAAACAAAATAGCCCAAAATCTCAAAATTGACCAGTGCATGAAAAAAACAATGGTTTGCATGTTTCAGCTTAAACTTAAAATTTTGTCGTCATGTCACTTTTTCCTGTGCTACTGTTAAAATGTCATAAATAAATAAATAAATGCTTGCTTATGTGTAACTAGATCTTGCAGTTTGTGTTTTGCCTTTTTGACAAATGGATTGCAAACACTGTTAAAACACAAATGTATGGCATTACGTGTCGACTGCAGCGCCCCCTGTGGAAAAGGCAGAGTACAGGTCCTTGCACACTGAGTCTGAAGTTTTCGTATGCGTTTTTCATATTCGCCATCGTAAAAATTTGTAACGCACAGAAACCTTGCACACTGAGTATTGATTAATCTGTTGGGGGTAAAAAAAATTTGTAAAATAGAGTCTTCAGTGAGGATGATTTTGTTGTCCTCTCTCTTCTTAAAAAGAGAAAAAGAAAGAGGAAACATTGGGTCCATCCACTCCTGAGATTGTGTAGAGAGGAAGAGAGTTCCACCTCCTTAACAAGAATTCAAGGTTTACTTCAGGATGTCAGGGGCTCAGTTTGATGCTTTGTTAGCGATACTGGAGCCACATATTAAAAAGAAGACCACCAATTTCCATGAAACAATTTATCCTGAACAGAGACTGGCAGGATGTCTAAGGTATGGACACACACACACACACACACACACACACACACACACACACACACACACACACACACTCTCTCTCACACACACTCTCACACACACACACACTCTCTCACACACACGCACACACACACACACACACACACACTCTCTCTCACACACACACACACACACACACTCTCTCACACACACGCACACACACACACACACACACTCACTCTCTCTCTCACACACACACACACGCTTGTCAAAAGCCATTCTGGATTTTGGCGTTCACTTGTATGGTGGCTCTGAATTGTCAAAACACCCCTTAATGTGAAAACCGCAGAAAATGTAACCCAATCTGAATTTTTTATAACAGACGAAAGTTTCAGAGGCAGTGTCTAAACATGACTGACACAACGTGAGGTTGTGTCAATTATTTTTTAACGTGTGAAAATTTCAGACGAGAATTTCGTATCAGTGTGCAAGGACCTTAAGAAGGAAAGTCGTTACACGCCAT